AGATCCATAACTCTCAAACATATTTGTTTCCTCTCTTGGTCCATTAGAGCGAAGCCCTGGTCTACATCAGGGAGTTATTTTGAAATAATCCCTCCTTAGGTCAAATTTATAAGCAGAGCATCCACACTACCAAGACCATGATTTCAAAATAATAATGGGCTAGTTATTTCGAAATCTGTACTCCTGATTTCCTCAGGGAATAACGCTAATTTTGAAATTGTTATTTCAAAATAGCGTTAGTGTGGCTGGTCTGGTGCTGCTAATTCAAAATAATTGGCCTCCAGAGGCCTCTCTCAGGTACACTTCTGATCACTAGGCATATCCACTGCTCCCCTCCTCCTGCAGAGCATAAAACTCCTGGCAGCAGGAGAAGGGCTTCTTGCACGAGGCCAGCTTGGGAATCCCATTTGAGACAGCAGCCAGCACAGCAGCCATGAGTGACTCTTAATGCCCCAGCAGACCCTCCCATGGCTGCCAGCACTCCTGCTGCTCCCTCAGCTGCCACTGGCCAGGGACACAAGAGAAAGCTCAGGCCTGGACTGGTGCGGAGATCCTGGACCTCATTCTGAGGGGAAGAGACCAACCTTCAGAATTATCGCACCACAAAGTGGAATGCTGACATCTATGGCCAGATTGCCACCAGCCGGGCCAAGAAAGGGCACATCTGGACACAGATTTACCTAGTTCGAACTAAGCGCTCCGTTAGATCAAATTAACTTTGAACTAACGGAGCGCTAGTGTAGCGCCTATGAAAGTTAGTTCGAACTAACGTCCGTTAGTTCGAACTAACTTTGTAGTGTAGACATACCCAAAGGAAGGTGGCCTGGCACCAGCTAGAGAGCCAGTACTGTGGCATGTGTTCATCCCTCACCTTGGTGATGGAATGCATGTCGTCGTGCATAGAGTGGGCATTAGATTCCTCATTAGAGACTGTTCATGGTTAAATGTTCTTTTTGTGGTATTGACTGAATAGTACTGTCAGATGGCTCATGCCACAAAGCCTTTTGTGTTAAGGATATTGATCCTTTTGCTGATATTTCAGTATTTGTACAAGTGCCTACATATTTGTGTAAATCTACCAACTCCAGAATTGACTGAAAAGCCTTATGAAATGTATCGAATTGTCCTTTTGCCTCACAAATACCAAATCAATTTCTTTCTTTCTCTTACAATAACTGGCAAGGTTTTTTTTTATCATATTTTAACCATAACAATTTCCCCAATATAAAAGACTCTTTCAGATCCTATCACGGCCATCCATGCTGACAAAGTTCTGGGTAACAGTTTTCCATTAAAACCTTCCAATGTCAGTGTTTTTACAGACCATGTACTACTTTGGAAATGCTGTGAGACATATCAATTTTTAAATGCCTAGATTTTCTGGAACTGGTAGTTCAAATCTTAGCTTGACTTAGGACTTCAACTTTCAAAGGTAGATAAATTGACTTCCATCTGTTTTACTGTATGCAGACTTTTTTAGACAAGATTTTAAAGCCAAAGATCTGTTTCCTGCATGTGGACATGAGTGACCTCAGAGTAGTTCTTACAGTAGTAGGGATATCTCCTTATGCCCTTGGATGAAATTTAACTCCTGACTCCGACTACTGCAGCAAGCTGGTTCCCAGGATTGTTGCTAAAAGTTGTTTGCATTACAGTGTTTTGCTTTAGGTCTGAAATCATGCAAAGGAATCCAGGGGGAGTAGAAAACACAAATGAACTCCCAACCAAGGCATTTTAGTTAGCATTGGCAGAGCCCTTTGAAAGACTGGGGCTATGGTCTTTGTTTGTTTTTAAAGTGGCTGAGACAGGATAAAATTCAATGAGCCAATGTTATGGTGGTTTAATGTTGTTTCAAGGCAGTAAAGCAGTAAGAAATCACATAGCTTTTGCTCTTTGGGAGAGCCAACCCTCTTGAAATTAAAACTTACTTTCCTCAGAAATTTTATCAAGGCTAATCCAAAGCCCTCTGATCTGTTCATTAAATGGTACAAATAAGCAAACAACATGCTAGAAAAGTGTCTTCCTCCAGGTCTCCCCTGTACATTTTGTATCTAATTTTGTGGTTTTAATGGTACAGAGCACACAGTGGATATTTAATTCCTACTGTCATTACAAGAATTCTGACCACCAAAACTTGAGGTACAACATCAGTGGGTAACACAATTACTCCTGGATAATTTGGCACCAACCACAATTGATTGTTGTTAATTCTAATCCATTTCTGGCTATTAGTAAATAATTTAGCAGCTGCAATTTTTTCAAAATAGCTTCATTTATAATAATTGGCAAAGCATGCTGAGCTTAAAAAAAACCCAAAGGCATTACAAAAAAATCAGAGCAAGTGGCAGGCTAAGTAAGAACAAGGCTATGCTGTATAAATTATTCTTGTGTCCTTCATTGGGGAATTAGTTTACTGGTATTTGTTTAAAACACAATTTAATTCCTCATAAAATGTATCTTGTTTTCTTACTCCCTCCAAATGAGTTAAGGCTGGTAGCTCAGGTAATAAAACATCTTAACCAGAACTAAATGCAGCAGCAGCACAAATGTAAATCTCCTGCCAGGTGGAGCCACCAGTAGCCAGCGCCAGGTTCAATATTTAGGGGTTTCTCTCCATCCATCCAACACAGAACTGTTTGAGTCCCCACCCAGTAACCTGGGAAATTCACTCATCCCCCCTGGGCACCTCTGAGGGTATGTCTACACTACAGAGTTTTGTTGGGAAAACTTCACTTATGTCCACACTGCAATCATATTCTTCTGTAAGAAAATCAAAAGAACGGAGTGGTTTTTCCGGCATTGGTAATCCTCTTTCTATGAGGAAGAAGGCTTTTTTCAAAAGAGCTCTTTTGCAAAAAGGTGTTTGTGGACAGGGAAGAGGGAATCCTTTTGAAAGAAGAGGAAAGATTAAAAAAAGTAAGTGAGCATCAAGACTCTTTGAGATGCTACTAGACTAATTGTTTTTTAAGTTGTTCCTATTACAGACTCACTGAACTATCCCTCTGAAGCTTATCTACTCACTGTCTTTTTTTCTTCCTCCCCTTCAATTTTTTTCCTTCTCCCCCCTCCCTCCTTCCCTTTTTTAGTCTTGGACTTCCAACACTCCGGTCATCTGAAGAAGTGGGCTGCGCCCATGAAAGCTCATGATGCCATCTACATGCTTTGTTAGTCTTTCAAGTGCTACTAGACTATTTGTTATATAAATTTTGTCCCTGTATTTACATAGATACACAAAGGGTTTCTCTCCCATTCCAGCTACTTGTAATGGAAGCATTCCTTCAGCTTCTGCTTGCCCATGCAATGTTTAAATGAGTGGAAACTGGAGAATACTTAAGAACCTCATGTGAAGGAAGCAGAAGTTTAGATAAAGTAAGTCAATGATATAGTTCTTGAAATTCTTGACTCTTCTCTTGTCTGTCTCTATTTGCAGATTTTGTTTCAGATTGGTCTCCCTTACATGATGCCTCTATCCATGGGCATCTTCTTGCTCTGAAGAAACTCATTAATCAGGTATCATTTTATTGGGGGATATGAATGCTCATTGATCCTGTTGTTGAATAAAGGGTGTATTTTATTTTGTAAGAGATCTGAGGTTAGTACAGTGAACTCCACTTATGATAGATGGTTTTATTATAGCCAACTTATTATCTATGCAAAGCCATATAAATGAAAGTCTGGACTCTTCAAGAAATTATGTATATGATCAATTCTTGCACAAGTAGCCTCACTGAAGTCCATGGGATTACTTATATACTTCAAGTTAAGCATATGTGTTAGTGTTTGCAAGAGTAGGGTCTACATGAGCTGTATCCTCATCTCCTGTCAAGACTTTGGCTGGAAATGCCCTGTGTTTGACCTTGCAAATCTCATGAGAATTTCATAACTGAAAGATTTGCAGTAGAGCTAAATAAAACATTTCTAATTCAAGGCTTGCTTTTCCATCAAAACTTGGTCCTGAAATTATGGAGGTGTCTGGAAAACAACTTGATAAGATTCCAGAATGTCTTGATAATATTGCATATATAATATTTGCAAAAATCAAAAGGTCACTTATTTTGAAAAGTCAGAATTCTAAATCCTGAAGGAAAAAGGTCATATGGCATAGTGGGAGGTATGTCTAGACTGTGGGATTTTCCCAGGATACTGGAGGTAACCCGGAAAAATTCCACCACATCCAGGAAACATGTTTGCTCTTCTGCTTTTTTTTTTTGTGGAAGAACAAACGTGCTCTTTCGGGGAGCCCTGTATATCTCGTTCTACGAGGAATAAGGGCTCCTCTGAAAGAGGAGACTTTTCCACCATTTGGCCCTGTCTAGAATGGGCCAAATGGTGGAAAAGCCTCTTCCGGAAAAGCAATCAGAAAAAGCTACGCAAATTGCAGAGAGCAATTTGCATTGCTTTTTCCGAAGAAAGGCTATAGTGTAGACCTAGGTGATGTAAATGACTGGGAGCCAAGATCATTCCAAGACATGTAAAATATGTAGAGCACTATATAAGTGGTAAGAATTACTGTTTTTGCATTCAATAATAATTTCTGTTATTTCACAAGGGAAGCAGTGTTAACCTTATTACAGCAGATCATGTGTCTCCTCTCCATGAAGCCTGCTTAGGGGGCCATTCTGCATGTGCCAGTGTCCTATTAAAACACGGGGCTCAAGTAAGTAGAACACAGATATTTGGGAGCCACATTTTTACACAAAATAATTTTTTTAATAAAATAATAAAAATGTTACAGATATAGGCAACCTCTGCCATTTTTATTATTATTATTTATATTTTGGTGGCGCAGTTTTATATATTTTAAGGCCAGAAGGGACTACTCTGATCATCTAATCTGTGTAACACATGTCATAGAATATCCCTGAACAAATTCCTAGAGCACATCTTCTAGAAAAAAATATCCACTATTGCTTCAAAAACTGCCACTGGTGGAGAATCCACCGTAATCCTGGATAAATTTCCCCAATGGTTAATTACCCTGACTTTTAAAACTTTACACCTTATTTCCAGACTGGATTTGTCTAGCTTCAGCTTCCAGGCATTGGATCATGTTATACCCTTCCCTGGTAGGTTGACAAGCCCATTATCAAATATTTGTTCCTCATGTAGGCACTTATGCATAGTGATAGTATTACCCCTGAGCCTATATACAGTAAAACTCCATTGGTCCGGCATCTGACGGTCCGGCACTCCTGATGGTCTGGCACCATCAGGAACCCAGAAGTGCTCCGGGCAGTCAGACCATTGGAGCTGCTCTGCCCCCAGCTTCCCCTATTCAGCTGCTGCTAAAACTGACCAGCGGCTGAATCGGGGAAGCCGGAGGCAGAGCAGCTGGGGCACTGCAGGGTAGGTCCCCTAGCGCTGCCCCTGGGGGCTGCGGACCAACCCAGCAGCACCCCAGGCGTCCCCGATTCAGCCACTGCTGAAATTGACCAGCAGCTGATTCCGGTAAGCCCTGGGCAGAGCTGCTCTGCCTCAGGCCTCCTGGAGTCAGCTCTTGGTCAATTTCAGCAGCGGCTGACTTGGGGACGCCTGGGGCAGAGAAGCTGGGGTGCTGCAGGGTTGATCCAGTA